CTGATACTATTAAGGAGATAAGTTGAAAAAAAAAACTATTTTTGTTACCATTACAAGACAATCAGCGAATTTGTTTTATAATTTTAAGTAAATTGGTGATTAAAAATAATTTTTTTTAAAGCATGTGGAATGGTATATAACGTATTTATTGCCAACTATCGTGACTAAATTGGGTAGTCCAAAGATAACGATACGTCGAATAACGAATCAAATGCTTATAGCTTACCTAAAATTACAACCTGCTGCTTTAAATATTGTTCAGGTAGATTTTTCCTCCTTTTTTTGCACTATAATTATTTCACAGAATGTTAATTTACTCATAATATTCATATTTCAAAATTCAATTAATGTACAGAATGGAAAAAATTCGCAAAATTCATAAATCAAATTTACCGAGAGAAACATTTAAAAAAAAAAAAACATTGATCAAGAATAAGTAAGTTTGCTTTTTTAATAATTTAAAATTTCGAAATTAAAGAATTTTACTGTCTTCTAATTTGATTATTTATTCATTTCTTCAGCGAGATTTATCTATTAATGAAAACGTAGCAGCAAAAAGATTTGAAAATATCAAAATTTGATAATTTCGTTTTTTTTTTTCCTCAGAAGGTGATTTCAAATTTTCTATTGGATGACGAAAATGATGCACAAATAAAAGATGAAGCACTTCGAGAAATTCCAAATCTTTTGATAACGGAATGTGCTAATCAGAATTGGAAGCCTTTGATTAGCTGTTTAGCCGAAATGATGCATTCGATTTCATCGGAAAAACACGAAAAAATCATCCGTTTATTAGCTCATTTCAATGGTTTGTTTGCGGTGTGATAAGGGAATAAATAATTATAATTTCATATCATATCAATTTATTCAATCACCATACAATATGACAGGATGAAATTTGAAATGAAAATTTTGAGAATTTGAAAGTACATGAAAACAGGATTGTTTGCAAGAATTGTTTTTTTTTTTTATGATTATTGTAAAATGAACAAATTATTAAATTGAAAATGTAACATTTTTTTTCTTCAAGATCATAGCTGGGATGATAAAAATTATCAGAAGGAAACATACAAACATCTGATGATTTAATAAATTATTGTAAAGTTTGTAAAATTATGTTAGACAAATTGCTAAACATTATGCATGATGATAATTTACACCAAAAAGTTACCGCATTTTAATAGATTAATGGAATTTATTCTTAATTAATTCAATTTTTATTTTAACTTTTTTTCAGTGTACTTAGGTACGGAGAAATTGCAGAAAATTTTGTCAGAATTAACAACAAAACAGTATGAAATATGCAAGAAATATGAACAAATGATTTTTGAAACAGGCCAAACGATGAAAGGTTTATTTTTACTTTTTCTTCCCACTCATTTCTTTTTAATTTAAATTTGTTTTTTTTTTTCTCCATGATAACATTAAATAAATAATCAATTGGTACTGGAATTCAATTATAAATGAATTGATCATCTTCTTAAAACATATTAAATGGGAAATTTTGAAAATTTAAGCAAATTATATGAGAAATTTAAATTTTTGAAACTGTTAGATGGTATTGAATAAATTGTTTTTTTTTTTTTGTTTCTTAAAATATATTAAATGGAAAATTTTAAGAATTTTAGTAAAATACAGGAGAATTTTATATTTTAGTTTCAAAAATTTAAAGTACATGGTTTTATGTTCTCAATTAAATTTCAATTACCTTATTATTGGTTACGATTTTAGAATGTCTCAAGAATAAGGATAAAATTTCACCATCAATTGATGTTGAAAAAGAATTACGATATCGATTTGGTATCATTCCAATAGTGACCAGTAATATGCTCAGTAACGACACTGATCCAACAACACGAATT